TTTATACCGCTTTTTTAATTTACAATTATAAGTGAAGATTTTCTAGCTTATAGTCATATATAATATATAACTATTTCCTTATATCAATTAATTTCACCTTATATCAGTTTCCATTGCAGCTAAAACTTTTTATTTTAATCTAATTAGGATTTAGCCGTTTCCATTGGCGTAAGCTGATTTATGAATATGAAATAGCTTGTTTGTTTACATTTCACATATAAAACTTATGAGATATATTTAAACTTTTAGTAATTTCGTAATTGGTAATTTTTCGCCTTAAATGAGTTACTTTATTTATAATCAGCTCACTTATATGAAAGCTTCAATCTTAATAAGCAAAACTGCCTTAATGAGACCAGTGGAAACATGGTATTAGGCGACTTTGATAATACTGAACTAAACCAGCCAATTAAATTTTTTTTAAGTGTATATAAGTATCGTTGTGTTCAATGACAGGTTATTATATAACAACGAATATGTAAAAAATAAAAACAACCTAAGAGCAGGTTTGTTCCAGTAATATTTGAGTAAATGTCAAATGAAGTTAAAAATTAGAATAAAATCATAAATTCTATCCTAGAAAAGCAGTTTACGCTGATAATGCTATAAAAACTTTGAAGTAAATTATTTAATAAATCATATCTTTCTATACCTATCAAAGAATACGTTTTGCTTAATACTGAGTGACAGATGGATGACAGTGTCTGGTTGATATAACGGATTTAACCTTCGCTAACGCCCTTCGCAACGACGAAACGAAATCAGTCTCCGGCGATTTCTGCTTGAAATCCGAAAACATCTGCCCCGGAACACAAAGACGATTTTCAAACAACATCTCTAAAGGACTAGCATTTAGATCTAGCTTCGGTGTTGTTCGCATCGCTTCTAATTTGACAGGTACGAGTTCCAAGCTTGGCACTTCAAACAAATTGTATAAGGACTATAAACTAAACAATAAATTCGAATCACTGATGATGAGTAGTTGGCAACACTCGAAACAGCTTTTTACGATTAGCCAAATTTTAATAAATTACCTATAATTTTTGTTGTTGCGTTCTCATTACTATTCGAACCCTTCTATATTTTAAATATATTTAACATTGTAATAGCGTTTTCGATTGGTAAATCTGTATTTAATCAAAATGTACTCTTGATAAGTCAAATTTTGTTGCTCAATCTAACATTATTAAAGTAATGTAATATTAGAAGTGTTTGTAGATATTTGTATTTTTCATAATTGCATACATACATATATCGAATGAAATCACACTTTATTTGTCAAGTCATATAGTATAGCTATTAATTTTAGTGTGATCTGACTACTCTGGTAAAATATATAAAGTGTTATAAATTAATCTCAAGTGTTATAATTTCGTACTAATTTCGTGTAATTTAGTGTATAATTTATACTAATTTAGTGTAATTTTTGACCAATATAATAATTGTTTACTTAATATTTTTGCATTAGACTTATCTGGCCTTCTTCTTTGGATGCAAATCATTTACCCGACGCTTTTTGCCAATATCTGAAATTTTATATAAAATATATATTTTATATAAAATATATTATATAAAATATTAAAAATTGTGACAATGAGAAACTTTTATAAAATTATAATAAATTCTAACAAAACCAAAAACAATACGCGTGTATGTGTATATTAATGTATATTAATTTAATAACAATCATTTTTTGTAAATTATTTTTTATAATAAAATGGATTTCTAGAATATAAGTTATTAATATTAGTATCAACCTGTGCCTAAATGTCTAAATGTATCATTAAGAAATATATCCAGCCCTATGCTTAGTTTCATTAACGGAGTAATCATGCGATATTATTCGAACCCATGATTGCTACCAAACGGGACATCATCTTGTTTGTGAATGCAGAACAAAAAAATGACCCTAATGATTTCATAGCACCCAGCTCGAGTAAGCACATGTGAGCTCGAATAAGCTACATATAACACAATCATCACAGTGAATAATTGCATCAGAGTTGTTGAACGAGCTCTAAATGTGTATGAGGGGGTTTATGATATAGTATAGAAGTCGTTGCTATAATAGAACCAGAAGCATCAAATCCAACACTTTGATGCTGTGTAACACATATTGCACTCATCAAACCACGTCTTGAATATTTATCTAGTTTCTTCAACACATTTCATAAATATAAATATGTGCCTTTAAATTCAATATGCATGGATTTCTCATTAACTCTGTCTAAAAAATATTGACTTGCAAGTGACATATGCACTGAACCCCTAAATATACCATAACACTTTGTCTTTATTATTTCACATATTTGTCATTGCTTTAAATGCTGTTATTTAGAACTTATTTTGAATTTTAACAATTATGCATTATAAGCATATACATATGTATATACATGCTAACTAATTCTTGAAAAAGAATGCTAATAAAATTGCTAACTAAGTATTTTTAACAAACATCACAAATTGAAGCAACACTTAGCTTTAAGAAATGTAACTTAGTTTTAAGATTTCAGTCTAAAATAAAGATTCATTTATAACAGACGTTTGTTATACGTTTTTTGCATTTTGGACTCTTCAAATAAAGTATCTGATGGATGAACTAGAAAGCCATCAAATGGTAAACAAAATAAAAGTCGTAGATTTTTTTCTAATCAAAACATCTGTCACTCTTGAAAATGCTGGCAAGAGTTCAGTCATTATTTCAAAGCAATTTCAACTGTTTTTGTAACTTCAAGTAAGAATACCCTGTAAAATAACGAATTGCATTATCGATTCATTAACGCTAAAATTTATTAATGAATCTATTTCTTCGAGATCAACAATATTAGTATGAATAAGCAATATCGCCTGGTTTTTTGAGTACTGCTTTCGAATCTAAATTAAAGTAATCGGAAAGGAATATGAAAATATTTGATGAAATTTGCAGAATTGCATTTATTGATACCAATATTCCATTTCATAAAGGTGGTTTTTTAACATTTTTGATATCTATTGAAGTATTCTTCTTTATTGCTTGCAAATATACAAATTCTCATGCTGTCTTATATCTAGTCCAGATGTTCCTGACCCATGAAAACTGTTTTCTACGACTTACTTCCATAATTAACATATTAAGAGAAATCGGTATTTTCGAGACGCTCTTTTCATGCATCATCTCTTGCATAGTTTTCATTTTTTCCACTTTCATATCTTAAGGTTTTTTACAGGTTTAAGTTTTCTTTACCGGTGAGGTTAAGATATAATTATGGGGATTGGAAATATCTATACTAAAAGCTATTTAAAGATAATTGTAAAGCATTTTGAAATAATGATAAAATAATCGAATTGTTATTTTTTTATTGTAAGTCCGTTCTTTTTTGTTTTGGTGATGACACTGTCCAAAAAAGGTTTGAGATTATTTGTTTGCTGAATTTAAATATGCTGACCAATCTTCTAATAAACATTTGGGTCATTGGCAATACGCTTTAATTATATTATTATTTTAAAGAAAAACGAATTTCTTGTCTTCGGCAAATTTTATACGAATAAATACAATAACATTTTTTACATTTTTACAACCATCCCAAAATTCTCCTGCTTTCCTTTCAAACGAATAAAGTATTTAAATATTTTTCAAAACTGCTTCGTTTCTTAGATTATTTTCAAATCTTTTCTTTAGTAAAGGAAAAATACAATAAACTCAAAAACATTTTTACTTTGGACATCATTCCCGAAATTCTTCTCTTTTTATCTTAAAAGAATAGGGTTTTCAAACGATCTGTTTTTTGAATTATTTTCAAATCCCTTCTTTTAAGAAGGAAATAATGCAATTTTGATTAGGATATGCTTGATAAAAATGGCTATCTATTTATTAAGTAGTATTTAAAAACATTACATTCGTTTCTCTTAAAGTAAAAAATTTTTTATTAATTAATTATGTTAGTCTAATCCTTTGAAACCACAATTTTTAAACTTTATTGCCAGAGACGTAGATGTCTAGGGTAAAGTGGGTTGATGAATTAAACAGGTCCAAATTAATCTTAAAATGTTGAAAAATGGATTAAGAAAATTTAGAGTCAACATAATATAAAATTTGTTAAAATTATATTAGTATCTTTTTGTTTTTAATCCTCTTTTTTCTTATAATATGTGAAATTCATAGAAGGATTATAATTGTTTCTTATATAGTGACGTATATAATTATTGGCACAGCAGGCATCTTGAACTTTAATACAATTTTTACAATTTATATATGTAAATTAAACTGCTAATAAATTTTCGACAACAAATGTTTTCTACTAAACCACACTTGCCAAAATCCTGGCTACGTCACTGTGAAGTGTTTATCAAAAAAAATATCGCAGAACAAATATAGAATTGAGAAATAGAATAGAATTACATTGGAAACCGATATTGAAGGATTGATTAACATTATTGCTTCGTACAGTCTGAAAAATTGGAAAAGGCTGGGACAGTTTTTGGCATCAGTATCTAACCAGTAGGAATGTGGCATAGTAGGACTAATACCAAAACTATTAATCATCCTGAAATCACATGACCTGAAAACATGACCTGAAATTATCCACTTTGTATTTTATAAGATAAAGAGAGAAAAAATGTAGTTTTTTAATCCCAAAAATCAAAACACAAAATTACAAAAACAACAACTCTCTACTCCAAAGAAGTACAATAAATATATTCCGATTTTGCGATAGTAAATGTTTTTATTTTTCGGTGGTGGTATTTTCACCATTTTATTTCTAATTTTATTTGATTTAGTTTAATGTATTAATTATAATATTTTAGTAATTACATTATATTTTATATTTATATTAATATTATCATTATATATTAATTAATATATGTGTACATAATTTTATAGATGACCAATTTTCTTTTTAATATTACTTTCTCAATTATTACTTGCGCTTCAGTGATAAACATTGCCATATAATATATTCTTAATAAAATTACTTTAATTTGTATAAATAATTAATGACTAATTTTAAACAAATTTTATTTCAATAATAATCATCAGTTTGATTTTGAATGATTTTTTCACTTATCTTGGTTAATGCATTTAATTTTGTGTGCACATCTATAATAGAGGAGTTTTTAGGTCCGTCCAAAAACTCTTTTGCGGTCATATCCTCCAATTTAACAATTGATAATAATTTTTGAATAATTAATTTATTCGATCCACTTAATATTTCTGTATCATGCATAAAATTGAGAAGCACGTATTTTTCAATCATTTCAAAAAGTCTTAGTTTATTTAGTACTGTACTAAGCTTTTCGGAGACTACTACAAAAGATGATGGATTTAAATTATAAATCGAAGATGGCAATGACAGTACATTAATAAAACACATTCGCTTTATTGATTCCACATATTCATCGCTTAAAGATCGAATCATGTATTTGTCACTTAAATAATCCAACTGTATGATGTCATTTACTTGGTTAAAGTTTGGTAAAGTGTCGTAATAGATAAACTCCACAAAATATTCAAACACTGATGGTTGAACATCATTCAAGCGAATTTCACAATTTTCTGCAGATTCCAAGAAATTTCCATTGAACATCGAATTGAAAACATCTGAGCAATCTGCCAAAACTTTCTTGTGACATTGTATGCGTTTTATTTCGTCTTCGTTGGTTCCAACGATAAAAGTGCAATCCCTAGCTGTATTGTTCACAAACTCATGTCTTTCAACTTTCCTGAAGTTTAATAAAAGAATCAGATTATATAGTATTACATTTTTTAATGAATATTCATATTATATATTATTATTAACTTACGATAGTTCACTCCACTTCTTATCTTCATTTATAGACATTTTTGCTGAAATATGTTTCGTAAGAACTAAAATACTGAATAGTTTGAGCCTATGAAAGACACTGATTTATTAAATATAAAATTGCTTCTTATATAGTGACTTAAAAATTCAAGTATAATATTATTTCTTAGAATTTATGAATTGCAAAAACAATAAATGAATGTGTCCTTTCCTTAATGATGTACGCAGATGTTGCAAGAGAAAAGATTACTTGAAGACCTGCGCACAATTACAAAAGATTATTTTAGCATATTTTAGGAATCTCATTCATTATGGAATTTGGGTTCCTTTTATAATTCTATTGTTTTAAATATTTTAAACTAAATTGTAGAATAAACTCGTGGTGTTATTATGGTAAGGAAAATCCATGGTCATAAAAGCATTGTTATCATAAAAGATACATTCGATAGAATAGTGGAAAACACCGACTCTGATTTAAGTTGGAATGTTCATTTTTCATTGTGATAAACATGAATTAGTGACCGTCCATGGTAGATAAATACACATATAATAATAAGGATCAGTATTAGTAAGGTGCGTTTCATTCGTCTTTATTGAACGTGTATCATTGAAACCATAACTTATGTTTAAACCTTAATATACAGGCATCAATCCAGCTTCAAATTTTAACATTACCATAAAAGGTTATGTTTCACAAAAGATATTTTAATGCTAGGCGTCATTTCCAGTTTTTGTCCATTAAACTTATGTTTTAAATTTTTTTTTATTTATTAACAATGATAGCTTAGTTTACAAAACTGATATTAAGTTTATAAAACTTATAGATATAGCTCTGGCTACTGAGGCCTTCTGAGGCTATAACTCACACTAAATTGATACTAAATGCTTATAATTATGTAGCTGTATAGGATGTTAATACAATATAATACTATAACACATATACATACTTATATTGTGTTATAGTAATGTGTTAATCAATAAATGCGTATATTAAAATACGTATTTATTGCTCTAAAACTAAGTGTCTTGTGCTGTGGTTAGTATGGTATTATCTGTTATTATGATTTTTTTGTTTTACTTTACTTTATATAAATTGTTTCATCAGATATTTAAATTTTATGATAAATATTAGCTAATTTTAAAAATTCTATGATTTTTTTATGCTTGTAATAATTATGTTTATTAAACTGACTGTAGATTTAATACTATTAAAACTCTTTTGTTCTATAAGTACGTAGTGCTGGACATGTATTAAGTATTCTGTGCTAATATTAATGTTAGAATCACATAATTGGCATAAAGGGGAAATGGTTTTATCAATAAAGTTTTAGTTTGTAATTCCTTACCGATGCCCTAACCGTAGTCTTATTTTCATTTTGCCAAGTTTAGTTATATTATGTTGGGAAATCTCACGTAGGTAGTCAACAACATTTAAAGGCTCAGTTAGATGGTAGGTAACGTAAGAAATTAATTCAAAGCAAAATGCACAACCAATTAAACCTGAGTAGTTTGTTTATTTCGTTCCTATCAAATACGCAGGTTTGATTGGTTGCGCATTTCGCTTTGACTTAAGTTCTTAGGGTTCAGTTAGATGGTAGGTAACGTATGAAATTAATTCAAAGCGAAATGCACAACCAATCAAACCTGCGTATTTGATAGGAACGAAATAAACAAAAACGGTGTACTTTTTGCAGGTACATCATTATATAGATAGGCACTTTGATATTTTTAGGTTAAAACTGGAACATTACGCCGTTTATAATATAGAGATAAAAAATTAATTCATTCCAGAAAAAAATAATTATATTATAAGCTAAGTGTGCCAATAGTTTTGTACTGCAAAATTTTTTTTGGTTTTTTATATTAATAAATTCAAATATAACAGATACTGTGATGAAATAAAAAAAATGTGCTGCAAATTAAGCATTCTATCGGCGTTAAAGCTCATCATGCTTGCTGTGCCGATAATTATGGTCGTCACTGTCTACCCTAAATTTAGGATAATTGCACATAGTAAACATCACTAAGATATTTTCCCTTTCATTAACAATTGTTATGTACTTCTAATATGTACTAGTGATGGGCAGCAAAAATACCCTTTAAATTTTTATATACCATATTTTTCATAATTATTACTTTGATTTAAAATTATTATTCAAAATTAGAAGAACACACAATAAAAACGTCCTACGTTCTTTGAACGAATATGTACTATTGACATAAAACTCAATATGCGTGAGGAATTACAATAAGGAATCGTGGCTCTTTATACTTCAAATTTTAATAACTGAAATAAACCTCAGAAATAATTAAGTCCTTTGAGCGCAAAATTTATACGGAGGTTGCATGTTGGTTGTAATTATGTGGGTTATTACGGTAATACTATGAGTTTTTATTCAAATATAGGTGAATAACAGTCAAAAGTACATACACAGGTTTTTCTAAACATTTTCTTTCTTGTTTGTGTATTTTATCCAAAAAATCTGTTTATTTTACAACCGAGTAATATGCACATGATTTAATTAAGCTTATCCATCCTTACAGTTCTTTCTATATTAAACCTTGCTTATTCACATATGCAGTAAAAGTTAAAATATCCTTCATACACATATATTTATAAATATATGTATATATACAGACTTACAGTGGTGAATGTTAAAAGCATTTTAAAATTATAAATAATCTTGACTGTAAGGCTTAGACACAAATAAGGCTGATTACACTTTTAATGAAGCTAATTTGGTTCCTACAAATTTTGTTGTTCCAGCTACTAATTAGATCCTTTCCGCAGTAGGTAGGTGCAGGCTAGAGTTTGCTTGGCACAAATACAGGTGATTTGTTTCTTGGTGGCACTGCTGTACGAATTTATTATCCTTTATGCAAAGCAATTTCGGAACAATTAATTATGCTTTAGTCAGAGTAGATAACAAATGCATACGCAGTAGTCAGACAGACAACGTTTTTGATTTAAGCTTTGCACCAATGCAGTAAAATGGAATAAATACAACGTTTGGACTGGGTTATTATTAATCTATTATTATTTTTAATAAATATGTATTAAAACTTAAAAGAAAAATTAATATGGGTTATTTTATGCTAAATAAATAAAAACTGGAAATTTTATAATAATAATTTCACATTTTTATTTAAATGTAAAGAATTTTATATTATGCTCCGGCATATAATTCCGAAAATAAAAAAGAATTAGCTCTTTATCTTTACGCAGTCCTTTCCAGCAGATGAAAGAAGATATATTCCCTTAAATCACTGTTGTCGTCTTAACAATAAAAATAAAGACCAGAAATAACGACAACATGTCAACGCTTATATGATTAGAAGTATTAGACCCATAATATACAGAGAGTCATGATCACATCAGATATGTAATTATTGTAATTTTCAACGTAAATCTAAAATTTGGTCACAATGACGAGATTTTATTGTCACGTCACGTTGGTCAAAACAGTGTTGCTCAGAATTAACGCCTATTTAAAGTAAATATGTGTACGGATACATAAGTATATTCACACAAAAATAAACATCTTTTAAATTTAGGCACTAAAAACTTTCTAAAATACTACTCAAAGTAGGTAATTGACAATTATAATATGACTCTTCATTTGACATGCCTTTTAGTCATGATCAAAAGAGCGTAAAATTACAGTGACTATTTGTCCACACATTTGTCTGTATAACATGGCCTTTCGGTTATTATAGGATGGCACACTGGCAGCGCCAATAATAAAGACTTCATACAATTTCTAAGAATTTATTTTAGTAATTTAAATGATACCTGTCAAAACTGCATGACATTTGTACAATTTTTAATTTAATTACAGCTGATTTTGTGACACTATAGACTCAAAGAAATTTCGTGCCTTAATTTATTATTACTTTTCGATATAGTGTCAACAAAAGCTTGCCTTGAAAATACTATCCGAACTCCATTGAGACAAGTGGTTTGAAAAAAGTGGACTTGCCGCCCGAAAGAGATGGTGACACCGGAAAACATTAAACAAGTCCATACAATTGTTTTGGCTAATCGTGAAATGAAGTTGCTGGAGATAACTGACAACTTTATATACATATACATGCCTAAATCAATTTAAGCCAATGGAAACGACAAAATCTTGATCTTGATTGATTAACATAAGTAGTTAAAGCTGCAGTGGAAACATGAAATTAACTCTTTGTATGATTAATCAAATTTCATTAGCGAACAAATAAACTACTTTAAAGAAGGCAGTGGGAACATACTATACTATTGCGACACATATACATGCTTCATAAATACACAATCGATCTGTTACATTTTGAGGAACGTAAGGTGTCAAATCCAAAATGAATTTTAATTATACTTTCAGCGGGTTACTTTCACGGCAACTCAATTAGAGTACATAAAGTTTCCACAATAAATTCAATAATTAAATTGATTTAATTAATTTAATTATTCAATTTAATTATTGTATTAATCAGTATATTTTACCAGTGTATATACAATTGCTTATTTAAATATGTTTTTCGTGTATAAACTATTTGTAGTTTTTCAAATTTTTTACAGAAAAATATTATTTTATAGATTTTTTTAAAAACTATTCCTCATTTGAAACATTAAAAAGGTTCCATGTTAAATAGGTGTGCATCCTATACATTACCTTATCTACTGTTTATGTTCAATAAAAATGTTTTTTACCATTTCTAACATATGCACACTTAACGGCTCTCTTCTGCCATTAGAAGGTAATAACAATAAACTTTTCAAAACCTTTAAATTTCCAACTTGAATCAACCCATTTTAGCTTCGTACTTAAACTCACTACTTCTGGCTCCTGGCTTTGGTACTCAAACTTTTGGTTATAATTATGATGTTACTGCTCATAATACTTAAATATCCTTAATGCGTCGAAATTTAATAGTGGCACATTACCTCCTATAACATAGCACAGCTGCTTCGACTTCGTCGCCACTTTTACTTGCTTTAACGATTATTTGAGCAGATTTACAACAGGACTACTGAAGCGTTTTTAATAGTTTTCTCA